CTGTGGGGCAGTTCTCCTCTGTTACACCAGGGGGCGCTGTGAGTGGATGATCTATAAGAGTATATATGAGTATATAGTGACACAATAGATGACAGCCTAGGGAATCCTTTGGGGCAGTTCTCCTCTGCCACACAGGGGTCATTGGACTCTGAGTTGAGGAATCAACAGAATCTAACAACCAATTGCAAAGGAACTATGAAGAGAGAGAAGGGAAAGGAAAAGACTGCGTCCTTGAAGGGTCAGCAGAAGAAAAGAAAGAGATTGGTTGGAATGGACCCAAGAGCAGTTGTGGGTTCTAGCTCCCAGCATCTAGGAAGACCTGGCCTTCTGTGGGACCCTCTTTCATTGGCTGGCCCTCACCCTGAAGACTCTATCCCCGTGTGGAAACCAGGCTTACAGATAAGCAACTTTGACCTCCTACTGCCCAGCAGACCTGCCAGGAGGGTGTCCCTCAGCTATCAAAGCGTGGGAGTGGGGAGACACTGTGAGAGGTCTCTGTCCTTTAGGTCTACATGTGGGGGGGACACTGAGAGGAGAATGTCTTTTGGTTCTATAAGTGGAGGTGGTGGCATTCGGGCCTGAAATGGACCTTCTCTCTGGCAGAGGGCAAGTACTTCCTCACCAAGAAGCCCCCTTCTGACACCCTGTCCCTTGTTTCCACTGAGCTCGCTGCTAGTCAGCTTTTGTAGTCAATGAGCATCCCGCTGAAATCACAGCAGGGACCTGTGCTGAATCCAGGAGTTCAGCTACGTCTCTGAAGGAATTTTATATGGGGTTATTTCTCTGATAGAGAACCTGGTGATGCAGTCAAATAAGTACTAGACTGTAAACTGAAAGGTCACGGGTTCTAACCCACCAGACACTCACTCTGTGGGGAAAGAGCTGGAAATCTGCATCAAGAATGCTCACAGCCTGAGACCCAGCATGACCTTCTCCTTTGTCCTGTAGGCTTCCTACAAGGCAAAATTGACCAACAGCAATAAGGGTTTTGAGTTTGGAATCACCAATGCAAAATGTGGTTATTGTTGTTACAAGGCTTCAAGTTGGTTCTGAGTCTTATTGACACTGTGTGACAGTTTCCTAGGCTGTCATGTATTGTGTCACTATATACTCATATATATCATCCACTCACAGCACCCCCCTGGTGTAATGGAGGAGAACTGCCCCACAGGTTTCCTAGACTCATCTTTGCCAGGTCTTTCTCCTGAGGGTTTAACCATTGTACGGCCAAGGCTCCTCACAGCTGCTCTAGCCCCTGTCTGTCCAGGAGACCTTGGATAGGTACAGTACTCCGTAGCTGCAGGCGTGCATGGCTCCTGTATCAGTCCTTTGTGCCTTTCTATTGGGAACCAGGACTGTGTTGCATGAATGTGGCACTCTTTGTTTACCCAGTTACCAGCAAAGGACATTGGGCCAGTTTCCAGTCTGGGGTGACAATGCAAAGATAGCTGTACTTGTGTGAACATGTGATTTCTCTTTCTGGGGTTACAACGTAGGAGTGGGACTCCTGGGTTGTGTGTAAGCGGGTGCAGAACTTGAGGAGGAGGCACTCGCCCGCTCTGCTTTGTGGCTGCTCCCTTTGCTTCCTAGCAGCAGGTTCTGCAAGCTTCATGGCTGTGTCTCCACCAGCACTTGGTGACGCTGCAGCTCAGTCTCTGGTTTGCCACTGGGAATACGCGCTGTTTCCGGGGTTTCGTTTGCGTTCCCCAGTGACTGTCAGTACTGAGCGTCTGTCTTCCGTTAATTTGTTAGCTACAGGCCTTCTTTGGAGTAGTGTCTTGCCCCATCCACATTTAAAATGATGCTCCTGTTTGTTTTCTTAGTTGGGTTTGGAGAGTTCTTTATGTGGTCTCCACCCATTCCTTTGTCAGATGGGTTTTGCAAACAAAGACAAACAAAGTTGTGAGAGCCAGAACTTGGTGGCAAGGCCTTGCTTTTGCAGGTCTGATGAGTTTTCCGCCTTTGACAGGAAGCAGTTTTCCACTTTTCTCTTCTGTGTGGTTGTTAAGTGTCATCAAGTCAGTTCCAACTCATGACGACTATGAATAGGGTTTCTGAGGAGTGGCTGGTGGATTTGAACTGCAGACCTAGCTGTTAACAGTCTAACACTTATCCTACAGCGCCACACCAGAGAAAACTTTCTTCTTCCGCCTCTGACAGGTTTCCTCCTAACCCAGGTTCTGGCTTTCATAGGTTTTACTGTGTGCTCTGCCACTCTGAGGAGAGCAAATACGCCCTCCATGTTTGCCTCTTTTACCGGCGTCTTTATCCACGTTTTCTCTCAAGGTTGCCTTTGTTGTCAATTTTTGCCTAATCTGAGGTCACAAAAATCTTCTCCAATATGCTTTCCTTTACAATTTTGATAGTTGTAGGTTTTACATGGATCCATGACCCATGTGGTGTTAATTTGTGTGAACTGGTTGAGGTTAGGATTGAGGCCCGTTTCTTTGGGGGGCCAGTACGTAGACAGAATTCCTGGGGTGGCGCTGTAGGATCAGCACTGGACTACTAACCACAAAGTGGGTGGTTCAAACCCACCAGGTACTCTTCAGAAATCCTATACATGGTCGCTATGAGTTGGAACCAACTCGACAGCATTTAACAGCAACAGGTAGCTAGCTGTCGAAAGATGTTTCCGCAGCATTTGTTGAAAAGCCCATTTCTTTTTATCTTGATACCTTTGAAATATAATATCGGTGAAGAACATTGACTATATGGGGGACTATCAGGATAACAAATCAGTCTCTGTTGGGGGAAGTACAACCAGAATGTTCCTTAGTACCAAGGTGACATTTCACCTCATGTACTTTGATCATGTTCTCAGGAGGGACCAGTCCCTGGAGAAAGACATCATGCTTGGTAAAGTCGCCTCCCGACCCCCTAAACCAAACACACTGCCATGGAGTCAACTCTGACTCACAGCGATCTTATACGAAGGGCACTGCCCTACTTGGCCGTGGTTAAGCTCAAGTGCTAATCAAAAGGCTGTTGTTGGTAAGTGCCATTGAGAAGGTTCTGTATAGGGTTTCCTAGAAGCATCTGATGTTCACAGTCCAGTGCTGATCCTATAGCCACACCAGGAGTCCAAGGTAGACAGTTCGAACCCACTGAAAACCTTGTCCACCTGCTCCCATGAAGATGACGACCTAGGAAGCGATTCGGGGCTGTCGTACTCTGCCACACGGGGTCCCCCTGAGTGGGAATGTTGTTGGTCCCAACAACAAAAAATGCTATAATCTTAAATGAGAAGCTAATCTGGGAGAGTTGGGGCTTCTGAAACTGCTGTAGCCACAAGTCCTCTTACATATCTTAACTGTTTTACCGGAAGTAAGGTTGTTAATGGAACCTTCTCGATACTGGAGAGGAGACGGCGTGGACCTGGCAGACCACTGTCTCACCCGTGAAAGCCAGTCTTTTCTCTGAGACATGGTGAAGTCCTCCCCGACCTTACAGCTTGTGTCTCAACGTTTCATCTTCCCCTAAGAAAGCGAGTCCCTCTCCGGGAGTGTGGGTACACTTCCCATTCCCGGAGGACTTGCCAACTCTCCCCAGGAGGGAGCACTGTGAGCCTCCTACTCATGTGAACGTCAAAAACATGCCACACAAACATCCCTAACATCTCCTAGTTTAATTCTGGCTGAATGTTATCACGGTAATGCACACAAACTACTCAGGAGATGTGACCTAAAATGATTCTCCCTTCCTTCTGTGGCTGCAGGTTACTGAACTCACCATACTTCTGAAAACCTGAATCTACAGACTCCAGCATGTTGGTAAAAAAATAAACGAATAAAATCTTAATTAAAAACTATAAACCCAAGATTATAGCTCCAAGAAGAAAACTCGTACCTGGGGCAGTTGTAACTGGAATGGAGAGGTTTTGGAGTGAGAACATTTTCTGCTCTTGAGTCACACTCTGCTACTGAAGGGCTTTATTGCCCTGGGCAATCCGTGGGCATCCCTGCCCCGTTTGAGACCTGTGGTACTAACAGTTACCTGGTCAATTTCAAGACGTAGACATCAAGTGCGAAGCGTAGAGCCAGCATGATGGTGGCACCCACGGACTCTCTGCGGCTGCTACACGGCTCCCACAGTGTACATCAGTACGGGGTCGACTCTGTCAGACAGCCCAACCCGCCTCCCAGGGAGACGTCATGAGACCACGTCTTCCTCCAGGGCTCATTCATTGAAGCGTTCACTCACAAACATGGGCTGACCAGTTGGTGAGACTCAGAGAACTGGTGGGCTCCAAGGGGCGACTCTGGATCTCCATACACTGACTTTATGGTTAGCACTCAGTGGTCACAAGCTACCAAGTATACAAACCAGGCTAGTAGTATGCATTACTCAAGTATAAACCCTTCACATAACATTAACAAATAAATGGGAGAAATGATTATTGCCACATCTTTCTCCTGAGGAGTAACTGGTGGATTCGAACCACTGAGCATTTAAGCACTGTGCCACCAGGGCTCCCCATGAAAGCAAACCCCACTCTATTCGTGTGATGCTTTCTCCATCCCACGCCCAAACTGTAGCCTTACATTTACAGATGTGTAATGGTCATGGGTTAATAATCAAAAACCAAACCAAAACAAAGAAATACCCGACAATTTTAACTTCTGGATTACTATTCCAACAAAGACAAAATCTCTCTCACCATCCTGTTAATCCGCACAAAGTCTTCAGGTTTCTTTGCCCAAGGAGGGAGATCAACATCATTGACCACCACTTCATCTTCTCTGACTCCAAGGTTGTATCCATTGCTGTTGACAAACATCTCTGGCAGGTAGTAGAATTCTGGAATTAATTCCTGTCAAAATCAAAAATGGAGCCTATTACGAATGCTGTACAGTAATCAGTAGAGCAATACTGAATTCCTTTATTAAAAACCAACACTCTGTTACAGAACTTTGCTTGGCACTTACTTCCTGTTCGATATTTAACAAGAAAGAATCAACAATACACTTGACACTTTATGTTTACAATCTATGCTTTTGGCAGCAAGTTTCAACTCCTGTTGTTGTTGTGTTGTTTAGTGCTGTGGAGTCAGTCCAGACTCACAGTGACTCTGGATGATGTGGTTTTCAAGGAGCGGCTAGTGGGCTCGAACCGCCAACCTTCAGCACATTAACCTGCAGCGCCACACCAGGACTCCACATCTTACCCTGCTGTAAGTTAATGAAGAAAAACGCCACTGTTGACGTACCTTATGAATGGTTCATCACAGCTTTAATAACCATGTCAGAACTCACTTGACGGCACTTGACAACAACAGGAAATAGCACGTAAAAGTTAATGTTGCTTAAAAACCTCTTCTGAATATTAACCGAATAGCCAAATAATTAAAAACAAAACAAAACACTTATTGCCAATATTTGTTAAAATATTGTTTTTTGTTTTTTGTTACCTACATTGACAGCTACAATGTGTGCTTTTATAATGGGATTCAGAATCTTATTCTGAGATTTGCCAAGACACATAGTTTTTATAGTTACACAATGAAAAGAGGCAACATCATCATCAGTTTTAAGTATTTCATGCTTGCCGCCTGAATGGTGAGTTATAAATCAATCGGATTCAAAGGCAGTTTGTCTACTTGTATGCAAGCCCGGCACAAACAACTACATTCAAGGTGAACTTGCGTTTCATATGTGGTGTCCAGCGTGGAACTTTTATGAATTTAGAATCAACCTGAACTAGAAACGAACTCATGTTAAGACTCTCTAGCTTTTGTTTATGGTGTTGCGGTTGTTAAGTGCCGTCGAGTCACTTTTGACTCATACTGAGGAGCGAATGGTGGGTTTGAACCACTGACCTTGCGGTTAGCAGTCCTGTGCTTATCCCATAGTATCACAGGACTCTTTTATTTATAGTTGCTTTTTTCAAGAAGCAACTGGGTGTAAATAGAATCGCTTTTTATGCTGAGCAACTATGTCATCTTCCCTCAGTTGTCCAGGTGAGGGTGGAAGGAATTGAAATCCAGGGCGGGGGGGCACGGAGACTTTCCCTGTGTGACCTGAATCCATGGTGGGGGGGACGACACGGTAAGGTTTCCCTGTGTGACCTGAATCTCTGGGGGGGGGAGGGGAACACAGTGACTTTTCCTTGTGTGGTGTGATGTACCTGAAATTTGAATCCTGCCATGATCTCCAGGAATGCACTGAAAAATGAAAATCAGTCTGATCCTTAACTTTCTAAGCAGAGCTCCGTGAGTCCTTCCACGAGCCACAACATGGATTTACTAGGATGCAAGAGGGTATTTATCTTACTCATGTAGGGTGACCATTCAGTATGCTCCATTCTTAGCAACAGTGAGAGAAATATCAACCTATTTGTTTCAGCGAGGAGCTCTGGTAGCGTAGTGGTTACGAGTCAGGCTGCCAACTGCAAGGTCAGCAGTTCGAAACTACCAGCTGTTCAGTGGGAGACAGATGAGGCTTTCTGCTCCCTTAAAGATTTACAGCCTCGGAAACCCTGTGCAGGGTCACTATGAGTCGGAACCAACTCCACAGTACTTAACAACAACTACTTGCTCTGGTACACCTTGAGCACAAGTGCATTTTCTGAAACAGCGGAGTTCAGACTTGAAGGAATCAGAGAGAGTCCTGTATTTGAACCACTGAAACAGAAATCTTTCAAGAATCCACGAGCCCTGCTTGATAGGAATCCCTCACTGCACACAGGGAAGTTTCCAGGCGCACACGGGGGTGGGGGTGGGGTGGGGAGGGAGGGGGGAGGTAAGATTAGTGGTGGGTTGCCTAAGGAAACAAAATGAGAAAGAGCCAGCCTTGTCTTCGAGCAATCCACAGTGTGGCCCATGGGCAATGTTTACAACACACAACAACTACAGCAGGACACAAAGGATCAAAAGGAAAGAAAAGAGAACCAGAGTGCAGACAGGAGGGAGCTGGGGACTATGGGAAGTCAGAAAAGGGTCATTGGAGTTTGGGCATGATGTAGCTCATAGCTCAGGTAAAGATGGAGAGGAGAGATGGAGAAGCCATCAGGGAACGGTAAGAAACAGAGTGTGTGCGGACGACAGGTGGGGTGGCCGAACACAGAAAGCCCATGTATCGGCTCCTGTAAAGATGGCCGCCTGGGAAACCCTGTGGGCAGTTCTCCTCGGTTACACCAGGGGGTGCTGTGAGTGGATGATCTATAAGAGTATATATGAGTATATAGTGACACAGTAGATGACAGCCTAGGAAACCCTGTGGGGCAGTTCTACTCTGTTACACCAGGGGGCGCTGTGAGTGGATGATCTATAAGAGTATATATGAGTATA